CCCTCTCTCTGAAGAGGCCTCTTCAAATGGGGCTTCAGTGACATCATCATCCTTCCCATCCCACCTCTGTAGAGAGGCTTACCACATGCTCTGTCACCCAGGTAACCAGAGCCATCATTTCTCGTTCTTCTACTCACTCAGGGGCTGTGGTCGGTCTCCTCTTTACTCCCCGCCTTTTCCCCTTCACAACCCCACCTCCTGTCCAAAACCTTGTTATCTGGGGCCGCCTATAGCCCAAGAGGAAATGAACCAAGCAATATCAGTTGTTTCCATTTTTTAGTACAGTTTCCTCCATTGTGGGTTCCACTGGCCTCTAACTCTAATAGGGGATGACCTTGGTTCTGAGGAGGGTAGGGAGACAGGGGCGCCATGACTACCTAGGAATTTTACTACAACTTTGAGGAAGGAGAACGGTACAAGCAGTGACAAATGAGGTGGCAATTGCCATTTTTGCTCTAGTGGCAGTGGATGGGACTTAGGCATGGATGGAACAGCTGGGTTTGGAACTAGGAGCCTTGGATTTGAATCCTAACTCTCATACTATTAGCTTAACCTCTGTGACCTTCCCTTTCCTCATCTGTAAAATGAGAGTTTGGACTAGAGCAGTGGTCCTCAAACTTTTTTGATCTCAGCATTCTTTTTTTCAAATTATTATTTATTTCCAACATTATTTTCTTTTTAAATTTTGAGTTCCAAATTCTCTCCCTCCCTCTCATTCCTTCCCTACCCACTGAGAGGGCAAGCAAAATGATATCAATTATACATGTGAAATCATGCAAAATATATTTCCATATTAGCCATAACACAAAAAAGCAAGAAATAGAAAGAAATAAGAAAGATATGCTTCAGTTTCTACTCAGAGTTCATCAGTTCTCTCTCTGGAGGGGGCCAGCATTTTTTCATCATGCGTCCTTTGGAATTGTGTTGGATTGTTGTATTGACCAGAGAAGTCAAGTCAGTCACAGTTGACCATCATTATAACTGTGCTGTTACTGTATTAATGATTTCCAGGTTCTATTTACTTCATTTTGCATCAGTTTATATAAATATTGCCATGTTTTTCCTGAAATCACCCGCCTCATCGTCATTTCTTATGGCACAATAGTATTCCATCGAAATCACATACCACAACTTGTTCAGCCCTTCCCCAATTGATGAGCATTCTTTCAATGTCTAATTCTTTGCCAGCACAAAAAGAGCAACTATAAATATTTTTGTATATATAGATCCCTTTCCTTTCTCTTTGATCTCTTTGGAGTATGGACCTGGTAGTGGTATTGCTGGGTCAAAGGGTATATGCACAATTTTATAGCCCTTTAGGCATAGTTCCAAATTGCTCTCCAGAATGATTGGACCAGTTCACAACTCCACCAACAGTTTATTACTGTACCAAATTTCCCTCATCCCCTCCAGCATTTGTCATTTCTGATAGGTATGAGGTGGTACCTCAGAGGTGTTTTAATGGACATTTCTCTAATCGATACTGATTTGGAACATTTTTTTTTCATATGACTATAGAGAGCTTTGATTTCTTCTGAAAACTGTCTGTTCGTATCCTTTGACAATTTATCAATTGGGGAATGATTCTTATTTTTATAAATTTGACTCAGTTCCCTATATATTTGAAAAATGAGACTTTTATCAGAAATTTGCTCTTAAATTTTTTGATATTACTTCATTGTTTTTGGTAACTTTGAGTAAAATATAATTTCCCTGATTATCTCTTTTAATTAGGTCTATTTTTGCTTTTGCTTTGTCTGAGATCGTGATTTCTACCCCTGTAATTTTTTACTTTGGCTGAAGCGTAATAGATTCTACTTCAGCCCTTTATTTCACCTCTGTGGGTCTTTCTGTTTCAAATGTGTCTCTTGTAAACAACATATTGTTGGATTCTGGTTTCTAATCCATTCTGCTATCTGCTTCTGTTTTCTGGGTGAGTTCATCTTATTCATATTCAGTTATGATTAACTGTGTATTTCCTTTCATCATATTTTCTTCTGTTTATCCGTCTCTCTCTATTTTTATCCTGTCCCTCCTCCAAAGTCTATTTTGCTTCTGACCATTGCTTCTCTTAATCCATCTTACCTTTTATCACCCCCCCCCATCTCTTATCTCTTCCCCCTATTTCCTTATTGGCTAAAATAGATTTTTATACCCAACTGAGTGTGTGTGTGTGTGTGTGTGTATTTCCTTCTTTGAACCAATTCCAACGAGAGTAAGGTTTAAGTATTTCCTGCTTACTCCTTCCCCCATTTCCCCCTTCATTATAAAAATTCTCCTTTGCACTCCTTTTTAATGTGTACAAATTTCCCTATTTTACCTCTCCTTTTCCCCTTTCTTCCTGTGCATCCCTCTTTCTCACTCCCCCTTTTAAAAGAGATCATCCCCACATGATTGACTCGCATCTGTGCCCTCTGTCTTGGTAGACTCCTAATTGTCCTACTGTGATAAAGTTCTTACAAGTTACATGTATCATCTTCCGATATAGAAATGTAAACAGCTTAACTTTATTGAGTCCCTTATGAGTTTTCTCTTATGTTTACCTTTTTATGTTTCTCTTGAGTTTTGTGTTTGAATGTCAGATTTTCTATTCAGGTCTGGTTTTTTCATCAGTAATGCTTGGAAGTCCTCTATTTCATTAAATATTCATATTCCCCCGAAGGATCATACTCAGTTTTGTTGGGTAGGTTATTCTCGGTTCTAACCCTAGCTCCTTTGTCTTCCTGAATGTCAATTTCAAGCCCTCTAGTCCTTTAACGTGGAAGCCACTAAATCTTATGTGAGCCTGACTGTGGCTCCACTATATTTGAATTGTTTCTTTCTGGCTTCTTAACTTGGGAGCTCTGGAACCTGACTATAATATTCCTAGAAGTTTTCATTTTGGGATCTCTTTCAGGAGCTGATTGGTGGGTTCTTTCAATTTCTATTTTACCTTCTATATCTAAGATATTGGGACAATTTTTCTTGATAATTTTTTGGAATACGATGTCTATGCCCTGTTGATCGTGGCTTTCAGGTAGTCCAATAAATCTTAAGTTATCTTTCCTAGATCTATTTTCTAGGTCAATTGTTTTTTCAATGAGCCGTTTCACATTTTTTCCCCTATTTTTCATCCTTTTGACTTTGTTTTATTTTTTCTTGATGTATCACGGATTTTAAAATTTTTAAGGATTTTTTTTCCCTTCAGAAAGTTTTTTTTTTTTGCTATTTAAGGAGTTCTTTTCTTCCCTGAATTTTTGTAGCTCCTTTTCCATTTGGTCTTGGTTGGTTGTTGTCCTTTATTCTCAAAGAGGACCAAAATGACATCACTAAGCTAGAGTCAAGTTACAGTGTGTCTGACTGTGGCTGATCAGACCCTTACAAGCTCAGAATGTTCTACCGTAGGTCGGGCACAAGTAGTCCGTGTGATTATCTCACGTTTCTTTTGAGTTACTTCAATTCTACTTTGCTCATAGAGCACAGCACCTTCTCTGATGTAGGCACACCATGCTGAGCAGTCCTATGCCAATGTCTCCCATGTTATATGATCAATTCCAAAGTTCTTAAGAGAGACCTTGAGAGTGTCCTTGTATTGCTTCTTCTGACCACCATGTAAATGCTTGCCCTGTGAGTTCTCCATAAAATAGTCTTTTTGGCAAGCATACGTTTGGCATTTGAACAACATGGCCAGCCCGTCGGAGTTGCACTCTCTGAATTAGAATTTGAATGCTTGGCAGTTTAGTTCAAGAAATGACCTCAGTGTCTGGTATCTTACCCTGCCAGGTGATCTTCAGAATCTTCCTAAGACAATTCAAATGGAAGCGATTCATTTTTCTGGCATGGTATACTGTCCAGATTTCATAGGCATACAACAATGAAGTCAGAACAATGGCTCTGTAGATCTTCAGTTTGGTAGTCAGTCTAATACCTCTTGTCTCCCATACTTTCCTTTAGAGACTCCCAAACATTGAGCTTGCTCTGGCAATATGTGCATCAACCTCATTATCAATGTGTATATCCTTGGAAAGTATACTGCTAAGGTAAGTGAAGTTATCCACAGCATTAAAAAAAAAAGCTTCCATTTGGCCTATTCTACATTTTATTTTATTTTATTTTTTTGCTTTTTAGTGAGGCAAGCAGGGTTAAGTGACTTGCCCAGGGTCACACAACTAGTAAGTGTCAAGTGCCTGAGGCCAGATTTGAACTCAGGTCCTGCTGACTTGAAGACCGGAGCTCTATCTACTGCACCACCTATCTGCCCCTTGCCTATTCTACTTTTTAAGGAGTTCTCTTCAGTGAATTTTTGTTTCTTTTTCACCATAAAACCAATTTTGTTTTTTAAGTGTTATTTTCTTCAGTATTTTTGCGACTTTTTTTTTTACCAAGCTGTTAATTCTATTTTCATAATTTTTTGCATCACTTATTTCTTTTCCCAGTTTCCCTCTACTGCGCTTATCCCTTTCTTTAAGTCTTCCCGGAATTATTGTTGGGTTTCAATCTAATTAGCATTTTTCTTTGAGGCTTTGCTTGTAGATGTTTTCACATTACTGTGTTCTGAGTTTATGTCTTGGTCTTCTCTGCCACCATAGTAGCTTTTTATGGTCAAATTAATTTTTCTTTTTGTTGTTTGCTCATTTTCCAGGCTACTTCTTGACTTTGAATGTTATGTTAAAGTTGGGCCCTGCTCACCTGAGGGTAAGGAAACTGTTCCAATCTTCAGGCTTTTTTTTTTTTTTTTTTTGTGCTTCTGTTTTCAGAGCTACTTCTGGAGGTCTGCAAATTTTCTGTGCTTCCAAGGTGGTGTGATCTGGGGAGGGAGAGATGTGGGCACTGATCTCCTGGTTTAACCTCTGGTCTGTACCCCGGAAGGGCTCCTGGTCCCTTGTAGCTGAAAGTATTAGTACTCCTCTTGGCTCTGGAACTATGATCTGTTCTTCTCCAGCCACAAGCACTAGTTCTCCTCTACACCCTGGAACTGTGACCTGGAAATGCATCCGAGCAATAGAATTTCCAGTCAGTAC